GTTGAGTTTTTTTTTTTTTTTCCCAACTGTTTATTTATTTTTAGATTTCTTTATTTCAAATTAATGGTATAATTTGATGGATTGTTTTCAATATCACTAGCTCCTGGTGTCGTTTTTTTTTTAAATTTTATTTATACTGATTTTCATTGGTTTGTTTCGTATTGTTCATCTATCTAGCCAAATCTTAAAACATATTAAATTTGTACACCCATACAACGGTACGTAACAACATCCATGTTTTCTGCGCTAAAGAAATGCTTTAAATGTCTTGTGTTGTAATTTTTTAAACTGTAATATGTTATTTAGGTTCAAGTATGTATTTATGTATGTGCTGAAAATTAATATGAACAATGTACTTTAAAAAAAACATGTACATTTATTTTGGATCAATAAATTCTCTTGTATTATCTTATATATGTAGGTCTTGGTAAGAATTGATTGTCATATAAGTAGACCTATATGTCGATTAACATATCCTGGCGTAATAGTCAAGCCATATATGTAAATTTTAAAAATGCGGTAGTGTGATCAGAACAAATGCGACACGAAAATAAAATTACCAAATAGTTAAAACCTGAAAAAGAAAATAGTAGGCCTACCGACAGGTCAAACCTGAAAAAATAGTACCGACAGGTTAAACTTGATACTACCCTGGTACACTTGGTACAGGAGACCTTGTGCTACACATACGTCCACAATGTTTCTCTTTGGTCCGAAATGCGTGCTCGGGACGCTTTTGTCAGGGAAATGTCTGGCCACGTAAATACCAGCGTTTCGGGAATCTGTATTCCTATCTGAGCGATGTTGTTTTCTTTGTGGTTTAATTAAAATATTGCTTCATTTATAGTTTTAAGCGTACACTCTACGTGCACTCTGGCGGCTCTTTTATAAAATGCCGAACGTATTATAGTTCTATGAATAACTTCAGGGGTGCCTTCCCCCACCCCCATCCCTACGCGTCTTGGAAGCCAAACTTGGACGTTGGTCGGTTCTGCATGGTATTGAAAAAGAGTTCACTATGAATATTAGAAAAAAAAAAAAAAAAAAATTTAAAGATAAAAAATGGCTGAAACATTGTTGTGGCCTATTCAAAAACAATAAAAAAAAAAAACACTAATTCAATAATAACAAACTTGGACGTTGGTCGGTTCTGCATGGTATTGAAAAAAAGTTCACTATGAATATTAGAAAAAAAAAAAAAAAAAAGTTTAAAGTTAAAAAATGGTTGAAACATTGTTGTGGACTATTCAATAGCGATGTTTAAAACAAACACTATTTCAATAATAGCTCAATACTTCTTTATATTTTCAGCAAATCAATCAAATTTAAAAAATAAAATTAAAAAATCAACGAACTTTTCACATCCACATTATTTCAGATGCTCAAAGAACGCCAAATATCTATTTAAAAAAATGTATGTCCCTAAAATCGTTGATCTAATATGTTCCTAATTTCTCTCCTGCCACAGATGCATCATGGGCTAGCAATATCGACTTCCTGTTTCACCCAGAGAGGGCCTTTATGAGTGAGATCCGCAGCAGTGTCAACATTTCCATGTATTCCAACACCACTCACGTCGTCTTGCCGACACCCAGGGTGCCACCCGAGGGCGTGTCGGACCGCATGTCCGTCAGCATCACGTTCGTCAACTTCTGTTTCGCTCTCACGTGCTTCCTGGTGCGGTACGCGTCCGTCTTCTGGTACACAAACAAGCTGCTGACGGCCATTTTCGCGCTTCAGCTCCTGGCCATGGAGCTGAATTCTATATTCAGCTTCAACTGCTTCTCCACGCTGTACTGTGTATGCTACAACAAGACCGTCTTCCCAAACGTCCACCTTTCGCTAAGTTGTGTTGTCGATCTAGTGTTGTACCTGTTTGGCAGCACCATCCTCATGTTGTCGACGATGGCAGTCTTTGAGTACGGGTCCCATTACTTTCACGAGAAGTTCAAGATCGTCGAGCGCCACCACAACCCGGAGAGCTACATCAAACAGACAATTATCGCCAACAGCGGATGCCAGGGTTACGTCCCTCACCTGTGCGCCATCGCCACGCTCGTGGTCTTCGCCGTGTGCAAAGGGCCGCTGCTCTACGAGCTTGTGTCGTTGATGCGGCTGACGGGAGATCAGCTCCTGCTGTCGGGTGTCGTGTGTGAGGTCTGCTACATGGTCCTGTGGGTGGCGCTCTGGTTCGGACTCACCATCAAACAGCAATGGAAGTTCAGGATTTTAGACTACGTCCCCCTCCGTCAGCCGATGCATTTGCTATCCGGTGACGGCTCATCGAAACACTCGCACCACGGGCACGGGGACAGCGCGCAAAGTGACAGCCTGACAAGAAGTAAGCGCCTCAGTGGTCGGGAAAATTTTACCAGATATCTGGAGACTGGGGCGCCGGGGACGAACAGCAGCGGAGAGGACACCTATCATTCCGATATTGGCACGGATGATTCCGACGTGATCAACAGTGCGGAGATGGTGCTGGATTTAGATGGGAACCTCATCTCCGACAGCGGCGCCAACTTCAGGCGGTCTCGCCAGAGGAGGAACTGCGGCCAGAGGGTCACATTTGATGAGTCTGTGCGCGGCAAAGGGTCGGCTGCCGGTGGCAACCACACACCAACCAGCAGCCTGACGAGGCAAGGCGCCGTCGGTGGCTTCAGGCAAGAGGATGCCAATCATCTGAACATCACGGCCGACATTCACGCCATCTTACCACCACCAAACAACGAATCTCTTCAAGAGGTGACTTTGCGCAGCAAGCCGCCAGACACCGCACCGCTGAGCAGGGAGTACAGAAACAGCATCAGGAGCAAGTGCGGTGAGTATTATTCCAGCACGAACAATTTGTCGGCCAGCTTCGACGAGGGTGTCGCGGGTTCGAGTCCTCCAGACGCCCTGCCCACTCTCATGTCCTCGTTTAGAGACAAAGTTCGCGTGTCTTCCATAGCGGCGAGCTCTTTCAAAGATCGAGAGAGACAAATGCTGGAACAGTTCGAGTACGTGGATCCACCGCCCCCTATTGTTGATGACATAATAAACAACGAAGTCGAGAAAAGGCGATGCATTGCTATATCTGACGAGGATATCGGCGTTGAGAGCTACAGACAGGACAATAATTCCGGCATGTATAGACTTGACAGCGCTGTTAACGATGGGGGCTACGGCTTCGATACCAGCGACAAGTATCGATCCAACTCCAATTCTCACAACAGACAGGAGAATCAAGATGTTTATTATAGATTTGACAGTAATCTTAACGACGGCGGCTACCCGTATGACAGCAGCACAAAGTCCTCATCACTGACTCGGAAAGCGCAACACAATTCATCCCTGAGTAGCGACGATGAGCAGCGCAGCAGCTGTGGTAACAGCACCGTAGAATCATCGGAGATAAGTCTCCCGCCACTCATGGAGGAAATTCAAATCAGCAGAGTTCGAACGGGCAGCGGGACGGGCAAGGCGGGTGGTATCCCCAAGGAGAATTACCCACACCACCACATGGTAGGTGGAAAAGTTGAGTATCGTGCTTTGCATTCTCACGCGCACTCTCGGCCCGTTCATTTAGTTGTAGGGAAGAAGTCTGAAATAGGGAGGCGCGACTCGGCCAACTATTCGCTGACCTCGTCCCAGGACAATTCCTCCAATGAGTCAGACCACGGCCACGGACTGTGTAGTCAAGTATGAGGGCCAGTAGCGTTAATGTTACAAATAATACAGTCCCTGGACAAGGGGGGGGGGGGGTCTCTCGGCTCGTAGCATGGTTTGGTATCCACTATCAGTGGACCTGCTCCGTGTCCAATCATAGTAATTCCCGAAGTGATAACTGCTGCATGCGAGCTGTTGGCAACTGATGCCGCATACAGAAACCCCCCTCCTTTTTTAGCATGTGTGGCACCTCATTAATCACAATGGTCGCATGGACACTAACAATATTTCTATTTGTATTTGTTGAATCTGTGGAGGCATGTTATAGCTCATAACGGGTAACTCATAAGGTTGTTTGAATGTTAAAATCACAGTACACTAAAGATAAATGCATTATTTCCATAATTCAACTCATACTTTTTTTTTATCGACACCAAACCTTTCGCGTTTTTATTTTCCTAATCATGAATATAAAGTTTGAGTTAAGATAACGCATTAAGTCAAATTGTAACTCCAGCCATTTCTTAAAATATTGTATATATTATGACATATTTAAAACTTGCATATATATATATATATATATCTTGTTTTTTAAATTCCAGTTTCAATTCAAAGTGATAGTCATCTTTCATTAAATCAGGTCTTAGGTTTGAAGACAATAAAATTGTGAAACTGTCAACATTTAGCGAAATAAACATATATTCAAAATTTTGAATGCTGTCTGTCCTCATTAATTATTAACATTACACGTTCACAGCCTTTGCTTTGTTTGTTGTGTGTAACTAGCATGTTAGTTGTATAAGATGAATTTTGCATCTTATTAGCCTTTTCAGCCCTTATAATGTTGCTCTTTGGGTGCATTAGACACCCGAAACATTGGGATGTTAATGAATGAATTAATGCAAACCTCTTTGAATATAAATGTTTGCTACAAAATGTAAGTTGAATAAAGCTCATCATGTAGGCTACCATCTTGCATGCATTGTTAGGCTACCATCTACGCGCAGTATTTGGCTACCATCTACGCGCAGTATTTGGCTACCATGTACGCGCAGTGTTTGGCTACCACCTACACCCAGTGTTTGGCTACCATCTACACGCAGTGTTTGGCAACCATCTACGCGCAGTATTTGGCAACCATCTACGCGCAGTATTTGGCTACCACCTACACCCAGTGTTTGGCTACCACCTACACGCAGTGTTTGGCAACCATCTACACGCAGTGTTTGGCAACCATCTACACGCAGTGTTTGGCAACCATCTACGCTCAGTGTTTAGCTACCAGCTACACCGAGTGTTTGGCTACCATCTACACGCAGTGTTTGGCAACCATCTACGCGCAGTATTTGGCTACCACCTACACCCAGTGTTTGGCTCCCATCTACTCGCAGTGTTTGGCTCCCATCTACACGCAGTGTTTGGGTACCATCTACACGCAGTGTTTGGCAACCATCTACGCGCAGTATTTGGCTACCACCTACACCCAGTGTTTGGCTCCCATCTACACGCAGTGTTTGGGTCCCATCTACTCGCAGTGTTTGGCTCCCATCTACTCGCAGTGTTTGGCTACCATCAACACGCAGCATTTCAGTACTGATGACCAATGTTTAAAAGGGCGGTTTTATTTCACAGTGTCTACAGTACCCTCTATGTCCAGCACGTCTCCTATCACCACGATAGGTTGAAACTGTGTGGCGTTGGTAATAAGAATAAATAAAGATGTGAAAAGCTCCTTAAGAATTACAATTAAATAAATTAATGAAACATTTATTGGAGACACCAGCCAACGCTACACTTGGTCATGACCATCGGATGTTTACGACGCCCTTGAAAGCACAGATTAGGACAATTAAATTAAATACACTTTAAAAAATCCCTAGATGGCTACAACGAACACGCTTTCTTCCTTATCTTTCTTTGTGACACGCTGTGGGCACGAGGCTTTATTAAACCCTTTATATCAACTTCACGTTTGTTCGTGGCCAGCTGGCAAAAATCTTCGGACTGCTAATTGACCCACTTCCCGACAGCCTATCGAACTGAAACTTGGCACATAGACTCGTTGCCGATGAGAACACATTCTTTCTAATTTTCAGTCAACCTCCAAACCCAATCCAACTCCCCCTCCTCCACCCCCCCCCCACCAAAAAAAAAAAGTTTTTCCTGTTTTTCAAGTGGAAGATGAAGGAAACATGATGCCACCGATTTAACCAAATAAAAATCCAGATGACTGCGCTAACTGAGATTCTTTTCTTTTTTTTTTTTTTTGAATCGCAAGCACGTTAGGTGCGTCATAGTTTCTTATGTTTTTCTCAAATAGTTGGTGAAATAAATCTGTGGTGTAAAAGCACATCGGTCGTTAGAATATTAATATAGTTCAGGGGCATGCAAAAATGTGCGGTTGCGAGCCTGGGGGTGGGGGGTGGGAGCACTAATTGGGATTCTTATCAAGTGTGTTACTTGTATGCATGTTTTGTCCAATTTTTAGCCCAACCCCCATTGCTCGATATTATCTTTTTTTAAAAAAAGATTTATACGAAAAACTTTGCTTTAAGGAGTAGTTTCATTTTGTACAAGTAAGAGCAATAAATTCTAGTGAAGACATGAGGACACTAAGACAGTTTTCAGTTGGTCATAGAGGACAATATTTTTTTTTTTTTTTAACGGAAAAGGGAAGATAAGTGAAAATGGAATGGGTGTGGTTGTTCTTTTATGCTAGGATCATCCTTATCACTTTGTTATGCATGGTGATTTGTATCTTTACAAGGTCCCCCCCCTCCAACCCACATTTCTCAAATTAAACACGTACATAGTATATGTGCATATGTATATATATATATATATAT